ATATATACATATATCCATATATCCATATATACATATACAGTATACATATATACATATATACACATATACATATATACATATATACATATATACATATATACATATATACATATATACATATATACATAAATACATATATACATATATACATATATACATATATACATATATACATATATACATATATACATATATACATATATACATATATACATATATACATATATACATATATACATATATACATATATACATGTAGTATACGGACACATATATGTATACGGTACCGTATACGTATATGTATAGGCATATGTATATGTATGTGTATATGTATGTTCTGTATATGTACATGTAAATGTATATGTATCTGTATGTATATTGCATATATATATATATTATATTATTATATTATTATATATATTATATTTATGGATATATTTTTTTGGGTAATCAATCAAATTATCGAGGATGTTGTTCCGGCCTTAGAATTGTCGTATTGGATGTACTTTTTGGTTGACCAAAGATTCTCGTTATTCATTGATAGAAATCAACAAAAAAATACCATCCGTCAAAGAAAATGATGAGATTTCCTGGGCCTTGTTCGATCTTGGTCCCCAGACCGCATGGGTTGCGCCGCTTGCTCCAAGGCTTTCCCACAGTCAGCTTCTGCGTTGGATGGGCAGCACGTCCACCAAGCTTCAGCCGCCTCGCGGTGGCCTCCCTAAGGTGGTCCAGAAAGGTCCACAGCAGGTGCCCGGTCCGGTCAGACACAATCCCCACAGGATGAGTTTTCACAAATGTGTCCAGTAATTTGGCTGCAAAATGGAATGTTCCGATACTCAGGGTGCAAGTTCAAGTTCCATACGGCTGTGGATCAAAACCAAACAACATCCTGTCACATCAAAAGCACGGTTGTACAGCTAGATATCCACTCCCCCAGTTCAAATCGGGTTCCGTCGAACAATCGAGCTCCCCACAAAATCGAATGCTTCCAAAAAAGCTCATTCTACCAGTGAAAATTTGCGTAGTTGTGGCATTATAATCATTATACTGTATTGTACCATGGCATACCCCACTTCTTTATCAAGGTTTATGGAAAATCAACGGTGGCTTCGGTGGCTTCGGTGACTTGTGTCTCATCCCCATGTCTGCCATGGTCAAAACATCACGTACGGTGGGCAGGTTGGGCTATGGTCATCTCATCATACAATATACATATCTATCCATATATATATATATATTGTCTATATGTAATATATATATATATATATACACATATGGCTATATATATATATATGTGACTTATATATGTATATAAATCAACATGTATATATATATATATATATGACTTATATATGTATATACAATCAACATGTATATATATATATGACTTATATATGTATATACAATAAACATGTATATATATATATGACTTATATATGTATATACAATCAACATGTATATATATTATATATGACTTATATATGTATATACAATCAACATGTATATATATATGACTTATATATGTATATACAATCAACATGTATATATATATATGACTTATATATGTATATACAATCAACATGTATATATATATATGACTTATATATGTATATACAATCAACATGTATATATATATGACTTATATATGTATATACAATCAACATGTATATATATATGACTTATATATGTATATACAATCAACATGTATATATATATATGACTTATATATGTATATACAATCAACATGTATATATATATATGACTTATATATGTATATACAATCAACATGTATATATATATGACTTATATATGTATATACAATCAACATGTATATATATATGACTTATATATGTATATACAATCAACATGTATATATATATGACTTATATATGTATATACAATCAACATGTATATATATATATGACTTATATATGTATATACAATCAACATGTATATATATATATGACTTATATATGTATATACAATCAACATGTATATATATATGACTTATATATGTATATACAATCAACATGTATATATATATATGACTTATATATGTATATACAATCAACATGTATATATATATGACTTATATATGTATATACAATCAACATGTATATATATATATGACTTATATATGTATATACAATCAACATGTATATATATATATGACTTATATATGTATATACAATCAACATGTATATATATATATGACTTATATATGTATATACAATCAACATGTATATATATATATGACTTATATATGTATATACAATCAACATGTATATATATATATATATGACTTATATATGTATATACAATCAACATGTATATATATGACTTATATATGTATATACAATCAACATGTATATATATATGACTTATATATGTATATACAATCAACATGTATATATATATGACTTATATATGTATATACAATCAACATTTATATATATATATATATATATATGACTTATGTATGTATATACAATCAACATGTATATATATATGACTTATATATGTATATACAATCAACATGTATATATATATGACTTATATATGTATATACAATCAACATTTATATATTTATGACTTACATATGTATATACAATCAACATGTATATATATATATGACTTATATATGTATATACAATCAACATGTATATATATATGACTTATATATGTATATACAATCAACATGTATATATATATATGACTTATATATGTATATACAATCAACATGTATATATATATATATGACTTATATATGTATATACAATCAACATGTATATATTGTTTGCATGATCCCCTGCCATGGATATAGCTCCAAGCTACAGTTTGATCGGGCCCAAACTTCATGTTGGTGGAGACCGGAGGATCAATCACCTCGTCCAAGATGTGAATCCTGGGTCCCCTGGGTGGAAATCAGGGAGTGGAACGATTTCCTATGGATTTCCTATGGATTTCCTATGGAATTATCTGGGTATGGGTCAAAATTAGGTACCCCAAAATTATTGAATAATATGGATGGTTAATACTAAACTAGACATTCACATCTGTGGTCCCATTAATGGTCTTCCATTTTGACCCACATCCATCTATGAATCATTGGAGAATGGGATTATCTATGGGATTATTTCATTTATCTATGGGATTATCTGTGGATTATCTATGGATTATCTATGGATTATCTATGGACTGTCGAAAAGAATGGATTTGTTTTAAAGAAAACATGTTTTTCAGATTCTGTGAATTTCAGTGCTTGGTTCTTTTTTAATACATAGACCTTATGGAATCGAGGACCTACCTAGTTTGGGGGTTATCTCATGAAGTATGGTATATCAATATCCAAAGATATCTCAAGATATCCCCAGCTATCTGGCCTTTGTTTTTCGCACTTCTTCCGGAATTATCCTGCAGTACCAATGTGGCAAAGTCAATGAGAAATCAAACCTCCGGTTGGGGATGGTCATCACGATCTGCGAGAGTGCAGCATAATATGGGATGATGGATACTGTACAAACTATTGTACAAACTGAGAATCCAATTTTTTCATGTGCCCAACTCTTCAGAAAGGAAAGCCTTCCTAACCACCAACCACTTTTTGGGCTCAGGTCCCTAGTTGCGCAGCTGAGTTGCTGTCCCACGCGCACCGGCAAGAAGATGTTTCCGCTGATCCGGAGCCACTCGCCGGTCGCCGAATCCGCTTCCAACTGGCGAGTTGGAAAAAAGGGGACAGGAAAAACACTCGGGATCTAATTCACTTATAATTCACGGATGAAACAGGAAAAATATGGAAAAATCACCAAGAACTCTAAAGAACTCTACGGTTTTTTGTTGCCGGTAAGGTTTCGGGAAATGGAAATGATGCATCATGGCATCTACGCCTTCAATTCATGGATGCATCGAAAGTGCCTGTCCAACTACGATGGCGCCATTTTCCGCAAATCGGGAATATCTCTCCTGGAGACAGCAAGCCAGCGTCTTTTGACACGGATATGAGTCTAATTTGGATGTCTCATTCGCAACGACATCATTAAAAAAGAGATCTTGCACCACAGGTCGGTGTTCAGACCTTGATCTTCAAGGGTGTTTTTAATCATAATAATTAACAACACTTTTGATATGTCGTCGAATCTATGAAAAAGAAGGAGCAAAGCAACCAACAAAATACATAAATAACCAGCAAACGTGAATAAACCGACTATTACCTACATATTGCCTACCCACCTGACTATCCCCGCGAAACAACACACCAAGTACGGTTTCTAGTTGAATCAGCAAGTACGTCATTGGTTTCGCCCACTGGGTGGCTAAGTAGATAAATAATGTGATAAACCCTATAATAATACATAAACCATCCCCCAAATGGTAGATTTATTCTTGGGTTTCCATGGTTTTCCTACATTATATCTCAATTTGACCACCATTGTTTTTTGGCACGATCGCCCATTTAAATTCACCATCAACCAGGGATTTATTCACTTCAGCCCGATATTATGTTGATCCAAAGCAATAGTTTTGAAGCCAAGAAATGACCCGAAACCTCCCAAAATGCCGTGGAAAATTTAACCGCTTTTCCAAAGCGCTCCTCCAAGTGCTTGGAGCGCCTGCGAGAAAATGTGGTCAGTAAGCCTTATCTACTGTGGATGGAAGAAATCCTGCACCAGTTGATAGATGGTTTATCCCATTATCTATAGGGTTTCAACCATCCAAGGTGGTGCAGGATTTCTTCCATCCACAGTATGTTATATATTGTTATATAGTTATATAGCTCTTCCCCTTTTTTGAATGCTAGTAGCTGTATCTTGAATCGAAAAAAAATGGAAGGACAAGGTCCACTCTCCGGGATGACTGTTTGGGCCCCAACCTGGGCACATTGCATTTCATCATGTCACAGTCCTGGGTACTATGGAACTATGATGAACTATTGAACTATCTATGTATAAATATATATATACCATAGATACATTGTATATAATATATATATATAACTATAATTGTACAAAGACATTTGGGCATGGTGAGGTTGCTTGCGGTGGCTTCAAGATATCCCGTAGTTATTGTTTTCTCTATCCACGGCTGTCATGATCTCCACTCTCTTCGAAGCTGCGGCCTGTACTGCACGCCAGGATATGGTTTCGGCACAGTCACCTCCAGTGAAAGTCCACCGAGTGAACATGCTGGAAAAAATCATAAGTTCATCCCTCTGATATTGAATAGATTATATATACATATATACATACATGTATACACATATATAATATGATATGTATGTGTACATATAATATATAATCATATATATAATGTAGTATGATATGTATGTGTATATGTATATATGTATATATAATATGCTGTATATATGTATACATATATATATATAATAGAACCACAGGCCCCAAACAATAACGGGTATTGACAGGTCGGAGATTTGGATCTGCCTTGAACTTGGACGCCTTCGAGACCACCTCGGTTCCCACTGCAGCTTTGTTGAAAACGCTTTCCCTCCTATGGGTTATCATTCCTTATAGGATGGATATATATATATAGGCTATATATATAGGCTATATATAATTAGTATATGGACATATATATATATATATATATATTATTATATGATATTATATATATATACGCATATATATATATATACATCCTATGGATAATCAAGAAATTGGGTATAAGTAGTTCCAGTCCGGATAGGCCCCACCAATCAGATCCAAGAAATGGCCATTTTGAGCTCAAATGGATGCGAGCCGCTGCTACTTTTTTTACCTTTTTTGGGGTCCAAGAAGGTGGCCGCAAATTGGAACCCGGCCAAAAAATGCCGAAAAAAGTGGTAATCACTGGCCTCATGAGGCCATGATCATGCCAATCGACGGAAATGCAATTAATTAAATGACGATATATCCTACATTAGAGTATATGATTCATGTGATACTCTATAATATCTTCCTTAGTTTTGACTCTGAGCCATCAACGTATTCAAACCCGCTTGGAGCATCAGAGCCTGCCATTATCCACTTCCAATACTAATCGTTGCCCATCTGGCCCCAACCCCCAACCATTTGCAATCCCCTTTCCAGAAATGGACCATGGATTGGCGGTGGATATGTTCAGATTCTGTTGTTTAGGAAGTCCCTCGATACTTGCAACGTTCACTGTTGAATGAATCGCCACTGTTGAATGCACTTTCTTCGCAATGATCAGTGATAATATCACCACCCAAATCAACAAATCAAAAAAATACATCAATGATTAGCCTTTCCGGAATCTTCAAATAGACTGAGGCCATTCCAAACATCTTCCATCCATGGATTTCCCATGGGATTTCCAAATGGCTTTCATGGTGATATTCCCCAAGATATTCCATCGACAAATGTCAAGCCACTGGAAGCTCGTGAATCCTCGTCATCAACTCCTGACTTCGTAGGTCACAGTGACGTGCCAGCTGTCTCCAGGCCTGACAAGGGGGCCACCATGGAAAGCCAATGGAGAAATGGGATGAAAGGGGATGAAAAAATATCTGATTTAAGTGGAGAATGATGGGGAATCCTGAGCTTGAGCATATGATGCATATGGTGATGTGTTGGTGATATTATGATACAATCACATCATGACAAATGTCGACCAGTTGTCCAACCTGAGATAAGACCTGTCGCGCACTTTTCAGCGCCAGCCATGGTCACGACGGCTGCCACGGTTTGGCCACTTTCAAGGCATCCAAACTGCCACCCACTCACAGGTTGCACCGTTGCACAGCTGGAACTGCAGACATGAATTTCAACCCGCGCGGTGCCGGTCTTGCACTGAAATATGAAGAAATATGACATTCGAAACCCCTCACAGGACTGGACAGTTTTACAAAACCCCTCACATCAGCTGGGGTGAATGCAGCGAGAGATGGCATCTTGAAACATCTCAGAACTTGATTCTGCCAATCCTTCACCCTGCTGATGATACAAAGAGTACTACCACCACCTTTTTTGTGGCGTACACAGCAGAACTCGACTCCTGCCTGTGTTTGGTGCGTTCTCCCTCAATTGGCAGTTGGCCCTGCATTCAAAACACACAGTTGAGCAACGAATGGAAACTCCCACATCGTGCAAGCCATGCCGCGCAAGCGCGATGCAAGCGCCATCTTCCAAGACAATTTTCGTTTCAAATGCAGCGCGTTTTGTAGGGCGAAATCGCTGGGTACAGAGGGATCAGAGGGACAACAAGCCAGGCACAAAAGTGTTCAAACAAAAATAAAATATTGGTGGTTTCCATAAATGGTTCAAACAAAAATCCGCCCGCACCGAAGGTGCTGGGGCGTGATCTTCCGGATGGCACTCGTAAAAGGTTACAGGTTTACCTGGGGGGGGGGTATTTTTCGGCCAAAACCTCCTGTTTTTGATAGGTCGTGACGCTCGCCTTCAAAAAACACTGTAAAAAACAGTACGGAAGACACCTGTTCGTGAACGCGCCCGTCCAAAATCGGCAAGCGAAAAGTGAAAAAAAACGTGTTTTTCAACTTTTTGACCTCAATTTTTTGGTTTGCAACATCTTTTTTTGCGGTTCCGCAGGTGGCCTGGCCCGGAGGCGGATTTTTGAGTTTTTGGACCCGTTTTCGGACTGATTTTCGTCGTTTTGTGATAGCAGAAACACTGGTTTTTACAGTGTTTTTCTGTTTTCTGCATGCTTGACGGCTAGCTTCAAAACTTCCAAAAAACCTCGTAAATTACGCTGTTTTATGTTACGGTGTGAATGAAAACATCGTAAATACCAGTGTTTTTTGACGTTGGTTAAAAAAACACTGTAAATTACAGTGTTTTTGGCCACCTGACCCTCAAAAACCATGGTGTTTGCAGTGGTTTCTGCTTCTCACCGCGCAAAAACACTGTAAATAACAGCAATTTCGCCGTTTTTTCATGTTTTCGTTATTTTTTGAACTGCGTTGGTCCGCTATACATGGCTATCAAATTCTTCGCGTTTTTTTTTCCGACAATCAGTACTTTCGGATGTTTTTGGTCTCAATGGCCGACATCATTGGCAGTTACGAGCGGCTGCCCAACGATGCGGTGCGGGCGGTTGCCGTCGCGAAGCGACGTGAATAAAATATTGGTGGTTTCCATAAATCGGGGATCCCCAAAGCGGATGGTTTAGAATGGAAAGTCCTCTATTTTTATAGATGATTTGGGGGTACCCGGGTACCCCCATTTTGGGAAACCCCCATATGAATAAAGGCATTCTTCGATTTTGAAGTCAGCGGTACCTGTGAAAACAGCCAGCATTCCCTCGAATGTTCATCCAAGGGTTGATCATGATGTTCCCCACGTTGCCACAAAAACCCAATTTTCAGACACAGCCATAGATGGAGGTTGATAGGAAACCTCAACCAAAGAGATGATTCTTGTGGTCACTGTTAGTGGATGAAGACTATGTCCTAGATATATCTATCATATTTGATCATATTTGCCTCATTTGGTCCTAAGATTTCTGTCAACATAAGATTTCTGTCAACATTTTAGACCCAGCTCAGCCCGAAAACCAACCAGGAGACGCAACGAGCACTGAATTCGGCGGCGCCCTTGTGCACCCCCGTATTTGGCCCCTCGGCCGAGGAATCGCAACATTCAGTTGCCAACGACCCTCAACGGTCAACAGGTTGACCAACCAGCTAGGCTGGCACAGCATGAGATTCGGAGAATCACATGCTGAAAATGTGCTGAAAATGCATCGATGCATCAGTTTTGCCGTAGCCCCCTGGAGTCAAAGAATGTCTGTTCTGATCCTTCAATGCTTCAACTGGAACGAAATCCCCATGGGCCTTCACGACAAAGTGACTTGACACCGAAAAAAACATACCCGCTGGTAATTTAACACAGCCATGGAAAATGATCCATTTATAGATGGTTTACCTACTAAAAATTGTGATTTTCCATGGCTATGTTAAATAACCAGATGGTATCCATAGGTGAGATTCGAGACAAAGAGTTTCACCTCGGTAGGACCGGCTGATCCTCGGATTTTCAACAAAATTCTGCTGGGGAAAGGGGCTGTACATCTCCCACTCACAGTTCAAGCCTAAACAAAATGCCATCGGCCAATGATTCCAGTGGTTCCACTGGTTCCGCATTTGGTTCAAATTCGGCTCGACTCTCCATCTCTGCTTCGTTCGTCGCGTTCGTCTGAACGAGTTGTGAAAGTCGATTTTCCTGCGACGGTCTTGCAGGTCTAGGCTTTGCTTGTCCCCAACCCACTGGTGGCCTGCTCAAAGCAACCGGGGCCCCCACTTTTTGACTCCATGGACTCACTTTGACAAATGGATTCAATCAACGGGTTCATTTAATCAAACATTTGGGAAAAATGGAAACAATGGAAACTCTACCATAAAATTGTTCAACTCTCGAACTTCAGGGCATTCAGGATACCCAGAAATTGACGTTACCCCCTCAACCCATCTCAACCCATGGCACCAGTTGTGAGCCGATTCCTGATGAGTGTGATGAGTGAAATACCACTTCAATGATCAGCCGCTTAAAAATTACCACCCAATAGGCCCAATAGGGCCCCAATAGGTGCTTAGACCCTCCTGGATTCGGTGGAGTTTTCGCAGTTCGCTGCGAGTTCTCATTCGCATCTTTTGAAGCTCATGGGCAGCTTGCTCTCGCCTCGCCTCAAGCGTAGCAACAGGCTTGGATCTAGGGAATCTAGGGGCTGGCCCGGGCTGGCGCAAAAACACTAGACTTAGGAGGTGCGACAATGCTTACATTACATCGCATCACATCGCATCACATCGCATCGCATCACATCGCACCGCATCACATTACATTACATGTCATTGCATTACGTTACATTACATTAACACATATATATATATACATACAGTACATTTATATGTTTATATATATATATACACATTGCATACATTACATACACTACATACATCACATGCATTACATACATTACATACATTACATACATTGCACACATCACACACATTGCAGACATTACATACATCACATTCATCACATACATACATATATAAATTACATATATTATATACATACATTGCATTCCATGCCGTACATACATTGCATAGATTACATACATTATATAACCACTATATGCACACATTACACACATTACAGACATTGCATACATCACATACATACATGCATACATTACATGCATTACATACATTACACACATTACATGCATTACATATATTACATACAATACATACATTACATACGGTACATTCATTCCATATATTACATACATTACATACATTGCATACAATACACTACATGCATTACATGCATTACATGCATTACATGCATTACATACATCACATACATTGCATACATTATATACATATATTGCAAACATTACATGTATATTACCCACATTACATACATCACATCACGTCACGTCACGTCACGTCACGTCACATGACGTCACATCACATCGCATCACATACACGCATCCATCACATGCATTATATGTATATTCACGCCTCCAAGCAAGCCTTGACATCATTCAAGGTTGTGTGCTTATTCTTTCGCATCTTGGCAGTCTGAATAGTCCCAAAGCCTGCCCCACCAAGGTAACTTTTATTCTACAACATCCTTATGCATGAAGAGATGCCTGCATATGGTAATGTATGGTAATGTATATATATATATAATGTATATTCATTATCTTGGAACTATCGTGGACATAACTGATATATTAGAGTAAAACAACGGTCCGGTCGTACGCCGCGACGCGGATTTATTGCATCAAGAGCGAGTGATTTTATCAACACACCCCCCGCTACCCGCCCACACGTCTCTCACATGGCAGGCATGGAGTAAAATGCACATAAAACAGCCGTACCCTGAAAAGCGTGCGGAAAAGCCAACAAAACAAATGGAACTCTCGTTGTATCCACTTGTGCTGTCCCTGTCCTCATGAACAAAATCTAGAGCTGACGCTGACAGCTTCTCTCTCTTTCTCTCTCTCTCTCTCTCTCTCTCTCTCGTCTCAATACTTTGAAAATACCGTTCGATTCTTCATACGCGACTGAAAGGGAACTTACTTTCATACCATATATGTTGGCTATAAGGTCAAGTTTTACAGTATATGGTACAGGGATATATGATATCAAAGCCATTCTAACTTTCTGCACCGCAGTCTAAATCATCAATCATTTCGTGGCAATCACCCCACACCCCAGAGCCACACCCGCAGATACACAAGTCCTGCCTTTGTGGGAGCCGTCATCATCTCCTTACATGCTGCACTGACATGCAACCCATAACATCCATAACCAGGTTTTGGGCAAAATATATCAAAATATCAGGCCAAAGTGAAACTTGGTGAAACTCATTAGCATTTGGTGAAACTCATTAGCATTTGGCCAACATGCCCAACATTCGAACAAGTCTTCCAGATTCCCGCCATTGCCCAGAAAATGCACCATGGGTCGCAACTCCAACAGCATACTCGTGTGTCCAGCTGTCTCATGCCCCGAAGCAGCCGAACATGCAAAAAAAAGAATAAATCTATGGAGCATCAATGGTATGAATTTATATAATTTATGATCAGTGGAGTATCAACTGAGTTTTTTGTGATTTTTGTTATTCAGAGATGTTTTTATCTTTCTTCATGATCTTCCTCCATCGATCTCCAAGGTACTTGCGCCAGTTTCTGGGCGATCCCTGGGCGCCACGGACCCAACCTCGGGCCATCGGCTCGATAGCTGGCTCTCGAGCAGTGCCCAACTCGCGAGTTAGGGATGGTTACCGCTATTACCGCAACGAGTCCCAGATGTTTCTCAGAAATGAACACGATTTATGTTAACCAGCACTGATTTTTCTTAGTAACTTACATAAATCTTAGTAACGATGCTGATTTATGTTAACACTAAGTTACTAAGACTTACTCAGCACTGATTTGTCGACCAAGACACACCAGGACCAATCTTTCCAAATCACAGGCCCCCGGATGTGGCTGGTGATCTATGGATTTCCGGCCTTTGGGTCCCCCTCCTTTTTCCCGGTCCAAAAAACTTGCATCGCTGGATGTAGGTGTCCAGCGCATGAATGTCTGAGGCCACCAGTTGTCGCAAACCCAGGGCTTTTCCATCCACAATCAGCTGCATCGCGAGGTATTTCCCATCAATCAAGATCTGGGGACCTTGGCAGCTTGGCACGGCAAATCTCAGCCCCCCATCCCCTGATGGCTCACGAATCGAGGAATTGACAAATGACCAATGAAACACACGAAACATCTCCTAGAATGTGGCTTGCCAAAATTGGATTACCCTCTGGTTATGTCAAAATAGCTATTGAAAATGACCATAGAAATAGTGGATTTTCCCATTAAAAATGGTGATTTTCCATAGCTATGTTAAATTACCAGAGGGTAGATTGATGGGATCATATTGGTTGCTGCGCCAACGCTCAGTGATACGGTGATACGTTGACTGTTCAACTCAGTCGAAGCCTTTCCCAAAAAAATAGCTTCACGTTGGTTGCACTCTCTATTTTTAACACAAGCACTGGCCAGGTGATCAAGAAAATCCCTAAGAAACATCAAGAAACTCAATCCCTGCAGGCTTTGTTCACCAAGCAACTTGGCTTCAGAGGATCAACGCGCAGTTTGAATGGAGGATACGGCAAGAGCCTGCGCTCTTAACGGGTACCCATGGGTACCCCAAATCTCGATCGCTAAGATATCAGTGACACCTAAATCCTATCTATATTATCAAGTGATATCAAGTGGATTATATAATTTATATAGCTACAAATCTGATATGGGTACCCTAAATCCAAGTCCCTCCATATCCACTTAAAATCGCATCAGATGCTTCTCACTTCCGAAACGAAAAAACCCTACGAAAACAGGTCTCTTCGAGCACTGCGACTCCTGATCGGGAAGCCAGTCAAAGGACATTCTAAGCCCAAGCCCGAACGCGTCCACCAACGAGAGTCACTGTCGTCAGCCTCCTGTCATAGGGAACCAATTGGGTAACCAATGGTAAACATACAGAAAACTAGGGAAAATCACCATTTGTTGGGCAAATCCACGAGAAATTATGCCATTTTCAATAGCAAGCTGTTTCAGCTGTCGAGTTGGCATCCATGTGGCAAGAACTCCAGCTGGTACACCACATGGCCTGAGACTCACTGAAAACATCTTCACATTAGGGAATATCTCTAGTTGTTTTATTTTAAATTGATATTTGCAATATTTGCGTTCTTGATCCATATTCATCTACAAAATATCCATAGTTATCCATCTGTATCCATATTAGATGTTCGCCCAAGCATGTCGAAAACATACCGGTGACCTTCCGAAGCTTGGGTAACTTCATCGCCTTCAAGATAGTCGGTGGCCTCAGCGAAGGCCACGAATCAAACTGCTATGGATTTTTTCTCAATGCCATGGCTGCTTCATCCCAGTGGATCATTAGGTTTTAGGGTTTAGGAATTTGGTGCATTTTGTGGCATGGCAGGTGGCTGGTCTTGTGGTGGTTCCACTGGGGTGTCTCTTTGTGGGGTAAGTTGTGGGTGGCTTGGTCTGGGGTGTCTTTTGGGTGTCTTGGGTGTGCTTGGTGGTCTAGCTGCCCTTTTGGGGGCCACCAAATTTTGGCAGGACACCCCATTCTTAATGAACCTTTTGAGTTGGCCAGAAGCGAAGCCAATGTTACTCAGGAGCCAGGCCCATTGTTGGACCTTAGCAGCAAAAATAGGAAGCTGCTCTGGGGTTGGCCCTGAATCCCGCATGCCAGAGAAAGTTGCTCCTTCCAAAGCCCCTTTGAGCTCTTTTCTGATGAAATCTCTGTAAAATTGTAAAGGGATTTGCTTGAGTACCAATGGACTTTCAGGGTGGCTGATGTAGTGGCACAACTCTTCCATTATGTCTTCTGAACCCCTCAGTGTTTCCTCCATGGCTGTGCCATTGCTGGGCCTTGCCCTTACTTCCAGCCTCACTCCACCCACTTTGGCAAGGTTGCAGGTTATGGTGTCAACCAAATTCATGAGGCCAACCTTTCTGCTCCGGAGCTGCTTCATGGAGGTTGGTTGTGCCATGGCATAGTCACTGGTGGCCTTTATCAGATGGCTCACGGGTGAATATGCTTGCACAAATTTCCCAACCTCAGACCCTGGCCCCCCTTCCCTCCTCACCTCCAGGGTTCCCCAAACCATAGGGTCGTCTTCGTCAAACATCCCTGGCAAAATGGGGTGGATGTAAGCTTTGTACCTCCCCCCAAAAATATCCAGAGTTGCCTTTCCGCCCTGGAGGCCAAGCAAGCAAATGCGCTGGGGGTCTGGTGATTGAGACCCCAGATCAAAGGCCATGGGGTAGGCCATGGGCTTGGGGAGCAGGTTGCTGAACAAGGTCTTACAAATTTCCAGGGGGGTCTTGCCTCCAAATTGTGCAGCCCACACCACTTCCACCCCCACTGTTTCCAATGCAGCCTGGGCTTGGGCTGCTGTGACCTTGATGGTTCTTTTGGCCACATTAGAACCATTGAAATAGTTCTGAAAGGGCGGGGAAGTTGGCAGAGGGATCTCAACGCCTTTTTTGTACAAGGCTGTGCATAGAAGCTGCTTGTATTCTTGGACCTGGTGGGCGTCAGGCACAGGTACAAAGAGGGCGACTGGATGACTGAAGAGCTGCAGGTATGGGGGGCGCTCTGAATAGATCTTCAAGGTGGCCCCTGCAGTTGAAGACCAGAAATTTGAGATGTGCCCCCTCAGCCACATCGAGGGGGACAAAGAACATGTCAATGTCCAGGTACGCAGGCAAAAAATGGAGGGTTGGCTTGTCATAGGGCACCAACTCCATTGCCTCCTGGACCGCCTCCTGGACCACCTCCTGGACCTCCTCCTGCACATCTTCCTTGGCTTCCTCATTGACTTCCTTGTCTTCTGGGGCTAGGCCATCAGGCTGCTTGCCCTTATGGTTCCCACAAAACTTGGAATTCGGCAGTGCCTTCAGCTTGCATTGCCCTTGCCCCCAAGTCAAGGCTTTGCAGCGCGTTTCTCCTGCCAGGACAAAAGTAATAAAGAGACAAAGAAGAGAAATTGCAAGGAAGGGAAAAAGGAAAGGAGGGAGCAATAATAATAGTAGCAGTAGAAGTAGGAGTAGTAGTAATAGCAGCAGCAGCAGCAGCAGTAGTAGTAGTAGTAGTACTGGTACTAGTACTAGTAAAAGTAATAGTAATAGTACCAGTAGTACCGCACAAGGCGGTGGCGGAAGTTTCAGAATAGGAAACCTATAGGAGACGTTGGTTGTTGTGAATCACGGATGGCAGAGCGAATCCACTGATTGACCGAAAGGTGGTTGGAGTTGTGTTTGCTGGAATGGTTGCAATGGTTGCAGTGGTCACCTCACCCACAACTGCTGGATGTAGTGTGATGTACTGCAACTGTAGTTGTAGTTGTAGCGTAGTGGAGTTGTAGTTGTGGTGTAATGTAATTAGTGTAGTGTAGTTGCAGTCATATAGTTGTAGCTGTAGTTGTTTTGTAGTTGTAGTTGTAGTTGTTGTAGTTGTAGTTGTAGTGTGTAGTTGTTGTTGTTGTGTGTGGTTGTAGTTGTTGTGTAGTAGTAGTAGTAGTAGTAGTAGTAGTAGTAGTAGTAGTAGTAGTAGGTTGTTTGTTGTTGTTTGTTGTTGTTTGTTGTTGTTTATTGTTGTTAGTTGTTGTTTGTTGTTGTTAGTTGTTGTTAGTTGTTGTTAGTTGTTGTTAGTTGTTGTTAGTTGTTGTTAGTTGTTGTTAGTGTTAGTTGTTGTTGTTGGTTGTCGGATGTGTTTTGCTGATGTGGTTGTTGTAGTTGTTGAGTTGCTAGTTTGTAGTTGTGTGTCGTTGTGTAGTTGTGTAGTTCGTAGTATGTAAAGTTCGTACTTTGTTGTGAGTTGGGGTGGTGTGTTGTTGTTGGTGTGGTTGTTGTTGTTGTTGTCTGTTTGTGGTTGTTGTTGTTGTTGTGGTGTGTTGTGGTGTGTTGTGGTGTGTTGTGGTGTGTTGTGGTGTGTTGTGGTGTGTTGTGGTGTGTTGTGGTGTGTTGCGGTGTGTTGTGGTGTGTTGTGGTGTGCTGTGGTGTGTTGTGGTGTGTTGTTGTGTTTTGTTGTTGTGTGGTGTTGTGTGGTGTTGTTGTTGTGTTGTTGTTGTGTTGTTGTGTTGTTGTGTTGTTGTCTTGTTGTCTTGTTGTCTTGTTGTGTTGTTGTGTTGTTGTGTTGTTGTGTTGTTGTGTTGTTGTGTTGTTGTGTTGTTGTGTTGTTGTGTTGTTGTGTGTTGTGTGTTGTGTGTTGTGTGTTGTGTGTTGTGTGTTGTGTGTTGTGTGTTGTGTGTTGTTGTTGTTGGTGGTGGTGGTGGTTGTTGTTGGTTGGTTGTTGTTGTTGTTGTTGTTGTTGGTTGTTGGTTGTTGGTTGTTGGTTGTTGGTTGTTGGTTGTTGGTTGTTGGTTGTTGGTTGTTGGTTGTTGGTTGTTGGTTGTTGGTTGCTGTTGCTGTTTGCTGTTGCTGTTGCTGTGCTGTTGCTGTTGTCGTCGAAGTTATGGGTAGTTAAGTTAGTGAGTTAGTTAAGTTAGTCAAGTTAGTTAAGTTAATCAGTGTCTACTTTTTCGACATCTTCACGTCAAAAAAGGCTCAAAACCCTCAGTTTTTTACACTTTTGACTTCGAAATGTGCTTCGCGCCACAACGGCGTGCACTTTTTCGACACTTTTTCGACATCTGAACCTCCAAAAGTGGTCCGAACCGTGTGTTTTGTGCATTTTGACTTGGAAATGTGCTTCGCGCCACAACGGCGTGCACTTTTTCGACATCGGAACTTCCAAAAGTGGTCCGACATTGGTGTGTTTTGTACATTTTGCCTTGGAAATGTGCTTCGCGCCACAACGGCGTGCACTTTTTCGACATCGCAACTTCCAAAAGTGGTCCGACATTGGTGTGTTTTGTACATTTTGCCTTCCAAATGTGCTTCGCGCCACAACGGCGTGCACTTTTTCGACATCGCAACTTCCAAAAGTGGTCCGACATTGGTGTGTTTTGTACATTTTGCCTTCCAAATGTGCTTCGCGCCACAACGGCGTGCACTTTTTCGACATCGCAACTTCCAAAAGTGGTCCGCTCCTCTAGTGTTTTGTCCATTTTGACTTGGAAATGTGCTTCGCGCCACAACGGCGTGCACTTTTTCATGTCTCATCTGGCCAGCTGGCTCCGCACCCGCCGCTTTAGCGAGCCTACTTTCGACCCTCCGGAGCCACAAATCATTGGAAAAAACACAGTGAATCGCGACTTTCCTATCTTTTCGCGCATCTGCATCTTCTTTCTTCTGATCTTGTCTCTTCTGACTCTTCTCACCTCTGCTTTTCAACTGTCCATATTGTCGGAAGTTTCACTTCTAAACTTCCTTCGAATAGTAGTAGAAATAGTAGCAGCAGCAGCAGCAGTAGTAGTAGTAGTAGTAAGCTCTTCATAGTAAGTAGTAAACAAGTAGTCAGTAGTCAGTAGCCTGCAGCCAGTAGTAGTAGTAGTAGTAGTAGTAGCAGTAGCAGTAGCAGTAGCAGTAGCAGTAATAGTAGTAAGCAATACAAGGCAATGGTAAAAAGTAAGGATGCAATGGAGTAGTAACAGTTCAAGAAGCAGTAGTAGTAGTAGTAGAAGTAGAAGTAGTAGTAGTAGTAGGAGTAGGAGTAGTGGTGGTGGTGGTAGTAGTAGTAGTAGCAGTAGCAGCAGCAGTAGTAGTACTAGTAGTACTAGTAGTACAAGTGGGGGAAGTTGTAGCAGTAGTAGAATCTGTGGTGGTAAAAGTGCTGGTGGTGGTAGTGGTAATGGTAGTGGTGGTAGTAGTATTAGTAGCAGTAGCACCAGTAGTACTACCAGTACTACTAGTACTTGTAGTACTAGTAGTAGAGGTAGTAGTAGTAATAGTAGTAGTAATAGTAGTAGTAATAGTAGTAGTAATAGTAGAAATAGTAGTAGTAGTAAAGTAGTAAAGTAGTAGTAGTAAAGTAGTGGTAGTGGTAGTGGGAGTGGTAGTGGTAGTGATAGTGGTAATGGAAGTAGTAGTAGTCAAAGTAGTAGTAGTCAAAGTAGTAGTGGTTGTAATGGGGGTGGTAATTCCACAGGTAGATACATACTTACAGTAGGAGTAGTACTAGCTAGTACCTAGTAGTACCTAGGAGTACCTAGTAGTACCTAGGAGTACCTAGTAGTAGTAGTAGTAGTAGTAGAAGTAGAAGTAGTAGTAGTAGTAGTAGTACCTACTAGTAGTACCTACTAGTAGTACCTACTAGTAGTACCTACTAGTAGTACCTACTAGTAGTACCTACTAGTAGTAGTAGTAGTAGTAGGAGTAGTAGTAGTAGTAATAGTAGTACCTTGGGGCACTTAGTAGTACTGGTAGTAGTACTACTAGTAGTAGTAGTAGTAGTAATAATAGTAGTAGTAGCAGTAGTAGTAGTAGTGGTAGTCATAGTAGTGGTGGTTGTAAAGGGAATTGCAGTTCCACAAGTAGGCACATGCAAACTTACACTCATGCAAACACATGTCAGTCCTGAAGGTGGTACTGTTGGGCCTCGCTTTCTCTTCTTCACTGCCTGGCCCTCCTCTGCCTCCTCCCCCTCCTCATCCACCGCATCACCATTCCCCCCTCTGCCCCTTCCTCCTCATCCACCCCATCACCAGGATCCCCCTTTCCTTTGCCCTTGCCTCTTGCCTCCTCCCCTGCGCTTTTTAGGGGCCATTGAGAAGAGGGCCCCCAGAGGAAGGCATGTGAGGACACATTGGGCGAGGTGGAAAACCTGCCTCCCCAGGGCAGGGGTGCAGAGGGTGGCAGAAGCCACCACAGCACATGCGGCGAAAGCGATGAAGAAGGCTGCCTTGATATTTTGCTTCATGCCTGGCAGGGTTTGAAATTGTAGCCTGTGTGTTTCCATGGTTGCTAGTCTGTGTTCCTTCTTTTCTGTTTTTTTTTGTCCTGTTGTTCTTTTCAAGCTGTTGTGCTATTTGTTTCTGCTTTGTCTTTTATGTTGCCCCCCTGACCCTTTGTCTGATTCTACAGCCACAAGCAACCAAGAAGAAGAAGGCAGAAAAGGGGCAGAAAGGAGTTGGTGTTTAAGGAGCAGGTGCAAAAAAAAACATGGTTTTTTCCAATCTACTGGGATGAAACACCAAGTCTGGCTGGGTACACCAACAATTGGAGCACCAGGGCCCCATGAGATGAACATGACAAAACCGGCCGACTCTGCGACTTTGGGGACTTTCAACCACCAACCACTCACCTTTTGAACGGTAAAAAAAACGATCCTGTTGACCAGCCCCAAAGTAGAGTGAGTTAGAAACGTCAGCAGCTTCCGAGCCGCAATAGAAGACTAGATCTGATCTAGATCCAAAATTGTGGTTAGAGTGGAATGAACGGAATTGATAGATTCCTAAGATATATAAGATCGAGAAATGAGATCTGAGATGAGACTGAGATGAGAGAGATGGTCTGGAAGACAAAAAGAAGAGACAGTCCGTAGCTCTCTGTCGATTGGACGATAGGTGTGAGAGAGTGGGAACAATGGAGACCCACTGGATGGGTAAACGATAGGACAGGAGAAGAGCAGAATGGCTGCGGTATGCCAAGAAGAAAGACAGAATAGAATATATAGTAGGTCATAGAGTTATACATATATAGAATGGGATAGGATAGGATAGAATAGAACAGAATAGAATAGAATAGAAAGAATAGATACTTTAGACAAAAGAATAGATTAATAGAGAGCAGAGAATAAAGAATGGAGATTAGAAGAGAACTATCATATAGAATAGAAGAGAGTCTTGAACATAATAAATATAGAATAGATTTATATTGTAGTATGTAGAATATACAGGACATAAACTACAGAATGAAATACAACAACAGAATATAAATATGTGTATACTGTATACAATAGAATAGAGAAACCACAAAAGAATAAAAATATAGGAGAGAATAGAATTGAACTGAATGGAATAGAATAGAACAAGACACAGAATATAGGAGAATGGACTACAGAAGATAGAATAGAACGGAACATATTTTTTACACATACCATCTGGTTATGACTAACAGTTCGCCATTGAAAATCACCATGCTATTAATAGGTAAACCATCTATTTCTATGGGCCATCTATACGATTGCTATAGCTATGTTAGTCATAACCAGAGGGTAAGTGGATCTCATGACCAACCGGTCATAACTGGCCCCTCTGTTTCTATCGCCGAGTGGCTTAATGGTGCTGGTCCTGGAAAATTTCACAAAACAGATCACTTGCTGGGAGTATTATCATGCCATATGGAGGTTTCCTAAGTCATAGGGCTACCCCCAGTCATCATCCATTTCAAGAGGATTGTCCAAAATAAACCATCCAACTATTGGGGATCCCGGATTTATGGAACTCCCCATGTAGTCATGTATCTATGTTCGCGTGGTATCGTTAAGAGGCTCAAAAATTTGTTGAACCAATTCAGTCCATTACGCAGCAATCAGACCCAAATGTTATTAGGATGCTTGCGAAACCATGGCAACTTCTGTGAAACGATGTGAAATCGATGACAACTTCTGTGAAAAATACTGCATTAACCTCTTAACTCAACTATACCCATAACTTGTGCCCATAACTATGAATATATACTGGTTGGTGGTTTCAGCCCCTCTGAAAAATATGAGTCAGTTGGGAGTATTATTCCCAATATATGGAAAAATTAAAAAATGTTCCAAACCACCAACCAGTGTATATATATATAATATGCATCATGTTACACATTCCACATAGCTACAATCCATCCAGAGTATCTATCCCAGAATCTTTTTGTCGGGGCGTAAAAGTCGTAAAATCCATATGTATTCCATATAGAACTGATGCCTTGTATGGCTAATCTCACATGTTTCCCCCTTTGTACAGTCACTTTGGAGGGGGTCGGCTGGTGATTCCCCGCAGTCCAAATGCACTGCTCCGGCACCACCTCCACAACTCATGCAGCATGCCAGATATTTTGAATGGATTGCCGAGTCCAAGTTTCATTTCCAATATCTACTTGTCATAAATGTATCATAAATGTTATGAAGAGACCAAAGATGGGGAGAGCACTTCGAACTCACCACATTCGCAAAGGGTCGACCATTTGGGTCGTATTTCGTTATCGCTGTGGATTGCCCCATATGGACCTTTTTTTCGCTTGGAAGCCCCTCAGCATTGTCCTCAAAACTTCCCCACGAGTCAAGGGAGGGTCCCCAAAAAAAACCCGGTCAACAAATCACCCGGAACGAGAAAACATCACCGAAAATCCCATGAAATTCCCCAAATGTTCAACAAGAATTTCACCCAAGAAGTGCCTTCAATTAACCTCCCGGGGAAGTTTCTAACGAAAGACCGGGAAGTTCCACAAAAAAACAGCACGCTAAAAAAAGAGCTGCCGGCACGTTCCGCAAGACCAGGTTAAACTCTTCGGGGAATTAAAACATCCCCAAATTTCCCCAAGACCACACCTCTGAAATTTCTTCCAAAATCATCAGAATTTCCCAGTTCGCAACCTCCCTGGCAGCTTGGACCTCAACCCTGAGAGCTTTGAACCCCAGGGAATCCTACAGCCTTGGAACCCTGGATCCTTGGAACCCTGCAGAAGTTTGCTACTCTGGAACTTGGGAATCCTGCAGTACTTGTACCTTACAAGCCGGGAAACTCATGCCACCCCGCGATTTGGGAACATCCTGGCACTTGGAAATCTTTGGAACATTGGAATCCGGTGGAATCCGGTGGAACCAATATCTGTACTATGGGGGTCATCAACCCAGCAACAAAAGCCTGCACCCAAGGTGGTGGAACCATAAAGCCTGGTCAACACCTGACCCAACTTGGAGGGCCCTGTTTTCAGACCCGCATTGTTCGGCGTTTTTTGGCCGGGTTGTGCTGGGTCTTGGTTGCCAGATTCCTCCGTTGTTCTCCCGTTCTCCAGCCTGCAAAAAATCTGGATTCGGTGCCAGGTCAGTAGGCAAGGAAATATATGCGGGCTCGTCATCCCGCAGGCTGTACATTCCTGCGGCTCGAAAATGGGGCCCAGTTGTCACCAGAGTTCTTTCAATACGAATTCGATGATTTGGTGGTACCCCCAGTTTGGGAAACCCCATGGGTGGTTGGGTGATTGTTTTTTGGTAATTCTCCAATCCGACTTTCACCCCATCACACTTGAAGAGAAGTGAATGAAGTGCCAAAAACTTGCACTTCAGATTCCTTCGGTGAAAAGTAGGAATGCCATCTACTCGCTGTACTTGATATCAATGTATGCTCTATCCACATCCAATAGATCTCTGTTCGACTTGTTGTCTCCGACATATGGATGTTCCAATCTATTTTTTGCAGGCGGAAAATCGGGTTGCAGAAGTAATTCGTCAGTCTTCTTTGCTTGGCAAAGGTTTCTGGTTGGGAGTACATGGTTAAATGCAATTTCTCTTATGTTTCATATGTTGTCTTACTTGTCGACTTCGAAAAGCGGAAGTGTTGACATCTTTTCCATGTGGCAATGATCTGTGAAGCACTCTGTTCCGGAAAAATGTGTGTGGGCTTTCACATGTACATTACATATGGCCTCTTTTTGGCCCAACTGATCCTCTTGTTTCCGTCGTTCAGGTACTTTGCAAAATAGTTGTTCCAGCTTTTGTTTTGAAGTGTCCAATTTCAGGCGTTCAGTTTGTTGGCATAAAAATGGATGATTCAATTAATTCACCGGTTTCTGGATAGAAATGAGACCTCTCCAAAAGGATCCAAAAGACTTTTCTTTGGGATATATACAATTTATACTAGCACGATGCTTTCCGTTTTTCCTATGTTTCTCGATAAAAATCCTTGGTCTTCAAAGGGATTGTTGGGCAACAAGGCCAGTTTGTGAAAGGTTCTCTTTGTCCCATAAACCGATTGTTTAGTTTCAATGTGTTTCCCCTTACATTCTGTCAGGCGTATGTGAATGTATGTGCGCATGTATATACACATCATAATCATATCCAAAGATCTATGATTCACTAGACCCTTCTGTACTCAAACATTGCAATAAACAATAGAAAACAAAACGTTCACTGTCATAATTGTCATACAAACACCATGTAAACATCATGTCAACTAACATAGCTATAGAAAACCCACGATTTATAGATGAATTACCTATTAAAAGTGGTGATTGTTTTACATAGCGAACTGTAAAAAAACAGAGGCTGTTTACGTAGCGACTCTGCCCCACCTTCGATGCCTCCAAAATTCGCAACGGCCTAGGAGATGCACATGGGGAGAAAAAAGGGGAAATATCATGGGAAAATCATCTCTATGGAGGTTGAGAAGCTGGAATCCTCCGGGGATTTTCCCATGGAGGGAATCTCAAACAAAAAAAGCGGCTTGCTATTTCTATTTTGTGAAGACTGAAAATGGGATTGAATTGAAATTATCTGGAAAATATTGAATACGACAAACTTTGAAGGTAGACCAACACCCCATTTTGCGGCCGTAGCTAGTCGAAGAGATATGACCAAATTCATTTGAAGAATGAACACACTCAAAATCACAAATAGCTCCATTCATACCAAAAAAACATAGGAATTGAAGCTTTAATGAGACAAGGATACTTGGCAACTAATATGTCCGCACCAAACTTGTTCTGCAAGTGGTTGACCAATCCGCCCTGCAACTGGCTGCAACTGAAGCGCCATTCAGTCGCTCGTTGTGAGCCAATGTTCCGTGCGTCAAGCTTGAGCCAGGTTTCCATCAAGATGGAACAAGGGTCAATTCTGAGGGAAAAGCCAGGGTTGAGTCAATGTCCGAGTCTTGGAGTTTTGGATCACCAAAACAAAAAAACAAGTATCTGTTGGAGATTATATGTATACATATATGTATAGATATATATATATATACATATATATATACATGTATACATATGTATGAGAATCTCCCAATCATCGGGTGATTGTGAAAAAGATTGTTGAAAAACAGGACGTTTTTCCATGTTTTTCCTAACTTTTGGCGACTGAAAATATCAACTGATCAACTCCAGGGAGGTTAAGCTGCGCTCCAAACCTCATCCCGGGAGAAGAAGTCGTCGATGTTTCGGGCCCTGGCGATTTGACAGCGGTCCAACCATTAAAATCGTGCCAATCAACGGAGAATGGCCGAAAAAACACACAGATTGTTGGGATTTACCAATGCATGGTGATTTACCATCATCTTAATGGTGATCTTAATGGTGATCTTTCATCTTTCGAAATTCGTATGGTTCGGCGACCGATTTTGCTTGGCGCTTTCCGTTGTTGATCCTGAGATCCCAAACACTTCTTCATCCATCTCCATCACTGAATGCCTCGATTTGAAGGACCACTGGGTTTTTTTCCATCGATGTCCCATCCGAATGGTAAGAATAGACCCCCTGGGGCCCCCAAAATGTTCAGAGACATTTTTAGAGACCCAAGGCCCAAGGCGAAATCGGGGTTTATGGATGTGGGGGATGCTACATATTGGAAGGGATTACATTTGGACCCATCTTGGAATGTTGATGATCTCTCATATATGAAGGTCAGATCCATCAAACCAGACCAAGCAATCTGGATCTATCTGGATCTATCTGGCATGGCCCGAATTTGAAATCTCTTGGGTTTCAAATTCAACATAAAATTAACCAATCTTTCTGATATCCTTGACGAAAAACATCGAAAAACCCAATGTCGGCCACGAAGCAGTGATGTCTCCATGGTCTCAGGAAGCTTTCCAACCTGTCAGGCGATTGGTTTAGCGCAGTGGAATTGAACAGATTTAGATTGATTTAGATTTCTGAAAATCATCTCCAAGAGTTTCCGCAAGATCAATTCCTAGGTCCTCCGAGCCTCGAGTTTCCCCAAGATTGCTGTTTGAAGGCTCCTTGAAACCGTCCCCTCTAGTCAGGAAACATGTCAAAAAAGCCCTTGCGAGCTTGATCACAGAATCAAATCCCTTCACTATGCTTACAGATCTTACAGTTTGTAGATGGTTGAAACCCAGAAAAACACGCTTTAACACAGTTTGTCGATGGGGATGATCCCACATTTCCATACATTTCCATCCTTCATCCATGTTTCGGTGATGCCTCAATCGGCCGCGCTCCATGACGCCGTGGGCTCCTCAAACCAAGTCGAAGAGGATGCAAATGGGGACCCCATTTATTCCAGTGATCTCCAGCAATTGACATTCTATGAAAATTCTATTGGCATTGTGGCATTCAATCTGACATATATTCTCACATGTATTCTGATATTCTATCTCACATATATTCTGACATTCTAGCTCGCTGACACTTTATCTGGCATATGTTCTGACATTCTATTTGGCATTCTAGCATTCCATCTGACATATATTCGGACATATCGGCTGACATTCTATGCAACGTTTTATCTGCCACTTTATCTGAAGTCTGCCTAACATTTCCAACAGTTTGTCTGGCATGTTATCCTGTATCTCACATGTATCCTGACATTCCTTGCACTTGGACTGACATTTTATCTGGCAGTTCGTGTTCGGGTCGGCCCTTTTAGTTGGCTATGATCTTGGCGACTTGGCCGATGCACTGCTGGGGAAAAGCAGCCTGCTAGAACTTCCAGGGCTCTAAGGACTCCTATGGACTCCTGATCTTCTTTGCCACATCTGGGAATGCTGATCCTCAAGGTTTCAGAGCTTTTCACTTTTGAAGGTTGAGAATCTCTAGTTACTCTAGTTTCTGCAACCACTGAGGCCAGCCAAGCGAGTCGATCCATTTCGATCGCTTCGACTTGTCAGACTGGGCCCCCAGTCCAGGGTTGGATGTCCAGCTATGATTGGTTCACCCACAGCCCCCCAGCACGGGGTGCCTCTCTGGAAAGCCATCCTGCACCCTGGCGACACCACGAGTCTCTACGACGTCTACAAGTACCACACCATGCCAGACTAGTTCGAAGGTTCGAAGGAAGGGAACCCCGAAACCCAGAGATTGGCTGGTCATCTTTTCACAATGAAAAACTGGACCTACCCAAGGATCGCCTCCTCTCTTCTCGGCTGTCAGCCAAGTCCTGGAGATCCACCAGTGAATTTGGCGACCACAAGCCCCAAAACAGCGCCAAAAGGCTATGGCTTGAGATTAGCCCAAAATGGATAGTTTGAGAGCCCAAAAAATGAAACCTGCGACCCAACAGAACCCCTTCTGAGATCAACCATGGACATATCACAGTGAAAGTGGGACATGTCGAATGTGGCTTGTATTCCAAGCAAGCCCAATTCCAGAAAATCCGTTGTAGGGAAATCATAGAAAATCTTGGAATACCCTACATCCCTACATGTGGATGCCAAAATGATAACGTTCTGCCGTGATGTTTGATTTGAGTTCATGTTGGGTGTTTTGTCTTCCCATGGCCAAGGAAAGTGCGGGCAGGCTGAATGAATGACTTGTTAAATCAGTGGGGCCCAGTAGATAGCCATGACAACTAGCCCATCTTGTGGGGATTCAACAACCAAAAAAAAAGTTGAACCCCCCAAGGATAGATATATGGGGGGTTCTACAGTCATGGGGGTACCCTATTTCGCTCGCTGGATGATTTATATATCATGGAAAATCCGACAATAAAATGGATGATGACTGGGGGTACACCCATTTCAGGAAACCTCCATATACATGATAGATGGTTCAGATATGTTAAGATTTGCCATCATCGGGGTTTTTTGTGGAAGCCAACTGAAGCCAGCACCAGTCCTGTGTCACCGTCGCAGCCGCTGCCGCCGCCACCGCGTGGGGCAGTTCGGGAAAGCTAGGGTCTGGCGTGCAATGAGTAGATTTTCAGGCAAACCTCACTGAAAATTCTGGTCTTTACCATGACCCATAATTTTTCAGGATGCAATATGTGGTGGGGACATTCACACGACCCTGGGATCTGGCAACATCGCAAGGCTGTAATGGATATTGCAGCGGTAGACGCCTGCAACCATCATTAATGAAATCTGACGAAGGGAGACACACACTTTGACCCATACCCCAACTTTGATCATTAGATGCCCCTTTGAGCCCATTGATAGGTGGTGAATCGATCATTTTTCATGGGGTACCAGAGTTCAACCAATGTGACCATTTCTGCTAGACTTTGGAGCGGAGTCTCCCAACCAAGGCTTCATGTTCTTGCCACCATCGTGATGGAATCACCAGGAACATGAAACAATACATAACAATACCATGTTCTCTCATGCACATTCATTGATAAGTTCCCAAGCCAGCGCAATCAGTGCTTGGAAGAGAAAAATAGTTTTGTAACCAAGTCACAAGGACTGTTTGCTGTATTGAAACTAGCGTCAACCATATCATGTGTTCCCAA